CAGCATTATATCCGCGAGTCCAGCAGGCGGTTGCTGGTGGATGAAGAAGGATTTATCACGCTGGTGAATAAATATATCCGTGAGCGGCTGGATGGAGAATCACGGTTAAAGCAGCGGGAGGAAGACCGGGCCGCGCAGATACCGGACATACCCATGCCCGAGGATGAGATAGGCGAACAGCCCAGGCTCAATACCCAGCAAACGCTGCATGAACGGCAGGAATGGCAATTGCTGCGTGTATTGCTGGAGCATGGAGACAAGCCTTATGAGGGCTATGCACATGTAGCAGACCTGGTGCAGCACCGCGTGGACCCGGAGCTGATCGATACGCCACTGGCTCGAAAGATCTACGAAGATTATTTCCGTTACCTGGCCGACAATGGCAAGCCGCCTTCCATGCATGTATTTGTATCGAGCAACGATCTGAAGATCCAGAAGCAGGTAGCCGTACTCTTGCATTCACATGATGAGATCAGCCCCAACTGGAAGGAAAACTATGGCATCGAAAGCATGCATGGCGACCAGTACTATGTAGTAGATACCGACAGCACGCTTGGATGGTTTGAAGTGAAAAAGATCAAAAAAATGGAAGCGCTCATCACCCAGAAAATAGCTGAAGAGAAAGATCCTAAAAGGCTGGAACGCTTGCTGGCAAAGTTCCTGGAGCTGAAAGTAAAGGAAAAGGAAATTGTGACACAGCACGGGACCGTGATCATCAAAACCGGTAAAAACTAAAATTACAAAACAACTTGGCCAGAATACTCTGCATTGACTACGGGCAAAAACGTACCGGCATAGCCACCACTGATCCCATGAAGATCATTGCCACTGCCATCGGCATGATCGAAACCAAAGAGCTATTTCCCTGGCTGAAAAAATACCTGGCTGCTGAAGCCGTAGAGCGGTTGCTCATCGGCTACCCGTTGAACATTGACGGAACGCCTACTCATGCCACACCGCTGGTGGAAGCGTTTATCAAAAAGTTTACTAAAGACTTTCCCGCTATTCCCCTTGAAAAAGTGGATGAGCGGTATAGCTCTAAATGGGCCTCGCAAGCCATTGCC